TCTCCCACCACCAAGCCACCGAATCCCTGATCCTGAAAGGACAGCCTCAGGGTGACGGGCCGTGAGGTTGTCACCAGATCACCAGAGGGGAACTATGTTCACTGTGTTCACACTTTCCAAGGCCCAAGGAAGGGCTGTGGGAGCATATCAATGTCAAATCCAGATCATTTTTGGGGGTCAGGATATTAGACTCCAGCCGAGCCAATGCTCTGTCGCTATCTCCACCACGCCCAACACCTCGTCACTAATCCCTCTAGGCTCTAGGCCAATCTCACCACCAGAATTGCACATGTCGTGTTTTCTTTCGAAGAAAAGAGCCCGGCATGACAGAAATCGTCCAGGCAGGGCAGCCTGAGTCGACCCTGGAGTCTGATGAAACATGATGAAACCAACAAGCCACACTTCAAAGAAGCAAATCTCCAAGAACTGGGCAGATGCCAAATTTGCCACCAAATCAACCATGGAGGAGCTGCAATCCAGTGGAAATGAGGCACCCACCTGAGTGCATCTGCAAATCCCGTTCTTGATCCCCATATTAAGAGATTGGTTGAGCTGAAGTCCACATGGACAGCTTCACCCCATGCTTGGATGCTCACAGGCCCATCAATGCCAAGGACAAAGTCCCCCATGGTCGGTTCAGGCCTCACGAGAGTGACAGCTCCAAAGTCGTGGGTTTTCGCAGCTTGAGCTCCCGCGCGTTCCGAAGAGAAAAGTGACCTCCAGCGATGCCAAGCGGCGGAAGTGGAAGAGATTTTTACAAACCAAATCAGCTTGATGGCAATTGGCAAGCAAACTCGGCCGTGGCGCGCCCAATCTGAGGCTGAGACCTGCGACATAGCCGAGGGGCGGAAGGAGGCATAGCGGAAGTCCACCAAAGCCTTTGGCAATGGCCTGGCAGAATCCGAAAATCTGCCTGATCACTGCAGCATCTCCAACCCGTGCCAGCAGCACCAAGCAGGACCAAAACCTTGACGGTCACATTGAGCCACCTGGATGTCGGACCGCCGGCCTCGCCGGCCTTCCCCGGCGTGGCGGATTCCATCCGTGTGACGCCTCCTGGCCGTGCGGCAGCGTCTGGTCCGCGAGCTCGATCTTCCTCTGCAAATGCAATGTCCACACGTTTCCAATCCTCGGCACGACTGAGCAATGGTTAGCATGCTCATGCTGCAAACGTAGCCCCTCTACTCAAGCATACCTCCATAAGCTTCCTGCACCGCTAGTTGATTCGGCATCTGCACGAGCGAAGAAAGAAAGAATGCAGCGTATGGCTGTTGATTCCGTTTCTGATACGATCATCAACAAAGGCCTTTTTAAGGAAAAGACAAAAGAAAGCATCAAAGAACCATGTCACATATGCCCCCCTGCGCATCCTTGTCCCTCCCAGCCTGCAGACTCCAAATCTCCAGCACATATGGCACGAAGGCTGCAACGCTTTCGCTGATCTCAACCCTCAGTCGCATTTTCACGGAGCACCCACCGTCCCAGAAAACCCCTGTCAGGTTCCTATGTCAGTGGCAGGATGAGATTCGGACCAAACTTTCGTATTGGTCGGGTTGTTCTTGCAAATCCCTTCCAGTGGCTGGCGAGACATCTCTGCGGAACTTGGACGCGGTGCAAGGGCTTCACAGGGTTGAGTGAAGCTGAAAGCCAACGGGGGTGAGACCACCAGTACAGGGACCACCAGAGTCCGCTCGATGGCCACTGTCACGAAAAAGCGCAGCAAAACAGGACTGCTACCTCCAATTTCGTTCCTCCAGGGAATGACCTCACATTCGCGTAGTCTTCGCAAGCTATACCCTGGCACAGTGCCTGCCGCAAAGCGAGTATCGAAAGGAAGCAAAGTGGTGGGATCCTCGCGATATCCTTTGCCAAAGCTCACACTTCCGAAAACCTCCAAACTCCACCATGGTGGATCTTCTAAGTGCACAGTGACAGGGTGAATCACTGTGGCCACAAATCCATAAGTCACCAACGACAAGAGGCCAGGTGCATCAACTTCCATCAACAGCTCGGTCGCATGGTCCGCCTTTTCAGGCAGCTGGAGGGTCCAAGAGGCTGATGCTCCGGTCAGTGCTGCGGAGGTCTCAATGTTCGAGGTCTCTTTCCACTCATATGGTGCAGAAACTAGGAGTCGGCTTCCGGCTTGCACTGGCACAGGCAACACAAAATGCACTTTGATACTGGCTTCGCTTCCAACCGTCATGCTACTGGCACTGATTCGGCTGATATCCAAAGAAAGCGGATACAAGATCTGTGGCCAGGAGCCAAAAGGGGAGGACTGCCCGACCCGTTGTGCATGCAATCGCCCCCCGGCAGCACAGCTGCTGTAGCGTGACTCCATGGCCCAGGAGAGTGTATCGTAGCCTTGCAAAACAAAGCCGGCCGTAGGGTTCCAAAGACCTATCGAAAAGGCCATCTGGACACCTGGAACAAGGCGTGAAGAGAAGGAAAGGCTCATTGACAGGCCCTGCACAGTACAAGTTGTGGCCGGCAACCCTGTGTGAATCTGAAAGCTTGGACATGCGGGTCCATCTCCCAAATAGAAACCTGTTGGTGGTCTTACGAGCAAGCACAAAACTGGCTCATCACTCTCATAACCTTCGGATTCGCCTGCAAGTTGGAAGTCGATACGCACCAGCCCTAGCTGATCCAGATTTTGGGATTGTGACACAGCCAATCTAGACATCCTCACTCGGAAGAGGGTGAAAGCGCTGACCACATCAAACGGCGGCGGAATCGGAAAGGACAGTGCTGCACTCTGCGGTGCCCGTAGCTCCAGGGTCCATGCGTATTCATCACCTCAGGAGCGGGGTAACTGAGCTATGGTGCTCAGTTGAGGCCTTGGAAGGATTCCAAATCCCAACCACCCACCATGTGTATTTCAATACGGAGAACCCCTGGCCCAAGGAGTTTTGGTCTATATAACTACTAGCTTCTTGTTACTAGTAGTAAGGCACTTGTTACTAGTAGCGATGCACTTGTTACTAGTATGTTCCGCTCTTTGGTGGATCTTCCAAAAAATGTTCACATGAGCTTGTTGGAGAGATGCGCAGATCCCTGGCCTCGAAAAGGGATTGGAGCGTTGTAGAAGCTAACGACAATGAAGTAAGAAGACTGGGCATAAAAGTGAAGACTGGGGGAACTTGCAATGATGCTGCAGGTCTTCTCCTCTGAGTTCAGCTGAGTCAGGAAGCTCTCTGCAAATGATATTGACCCACTCCAGGCCTCAAGAGGTTCCAGCTGGCAAGAGCGCATCTGTCCCATCACCGTTGGCAAATATATTCGCAAGTAGCCCAAGTCTAATGTCTGGGTTGATTGTCCGTGAATGGTGATTCCAGGTATCACCCGAACTCTCAAGGTGTTGAGTGTGGAAATAGCACTGGATGTATAAGAAAGCACTTCTGTTGTGGGTGCAGCTTGGACAAGTATGCCATGTGCACTCTGTGAGACAGCTCGTGCTGGTTGGCTCGAGTTCAGGGTCGCACGGCCATCCCCTTCCAAGGCAACTACTAGCCATTTTTCAAATGATCCAAGGGCAGGAGAGCTCACGGAGAACTCCAAGCTTAAGGATGTCAAAGGAAGGATGTCAAAGATCAGCTTGACTCCATTTGCGCTGAGCCGGCGTCCATCCTGCCGGCAGGGAGAGAGGTTCAACTGAAGGAGCTAGGGCTGTCCAAGAGACGCAGGAAGAAAAATGAGGAAGCACATGATTAAGTTGCCCTAAAAGTCTAGGAACCAAATGATTAGTGCGAGCGCTTCTTCAAGGAAGCTCCCCCCCTTCCTACCTAGAAGCTAACTTGGCCCTTACTTAATTGTAGGCGCCTACTTGATTATATATATATATATATAAGTAGTAGGGGGCAGAGCGGGATAAAAAAGAATACAAAAGTAGGAGAGGATGAAAACAGTTGACCCACGATCCTCAGCCTGTCCAAAGGATGTCCAATAGCATCGAAAGTCTATCATGGGTGACAAGCGAATGTCGTTCACGCAGGAAGCAGTTTGGTCTTCCTGTCCAGGAGCAATCACTGAGGCCGCTGGTGGGTGTAAAGACCATGATGTAAAGGGCCGCGCCATAATGAGAAAGCTTGTAGGAGCTGAGCTACCTTCCGGGATCTCAAGTGACAGTCGCACCATGAAAGAAGTACTTGGAAGAAGGAAGGTGCGAGGTGAGATGATATCCAAAACGGCCTCCGTCAGATTCAGTTCAGGACCGGGCCAGTGGTACTCTCCAGCAGGACCAGTTTCAATTGTGCCAAAAGAAGTCTCAAAGAACTCTACTTGGCTTCGAAAGCTTTCAGTTGGAAGCGGAACTGACCCTTGTCTCCCAATCAGAAGACGCAAGCGCGTCGGTCCGACGGCCGTACTCGAAATGTTCACCCGCATCACCACTTCATACCACGTGGCTGCTCTCAGAAGTCCATCGAATTGGAGAAGACCGCCATGGCATGCAACACTGCCAGGCCACCCACCGGCCAATTCGACCAAGGAAGAACAATCCTCAGCAAACGAAAGTTGGCTCAGGGTGTTCTCCTCTTGAATCAGCAACGAATGGTATGGAAAGTCGACCGTTTGGGCGTAGGAACTGCTGTTGCTGGTCCGGAAGCCAATCCAAAGGTAGGTCTCCGCTCCGAGGGCCGGTGCTAACACTTCAACAGCCACGTTGGAAAGATATGCCGCGGCCAAGCGCAGAATGACCGAGCAATGCAAGCGCCATCTTCGCATCTCACATTTTGAAGAGTCAAATGGACTCTGAACTCTCCATTACGCACTTGGAAGCACCCCTGCCATGACGCCAAGTTGGGGTTCAGCCAGCAATCACAGGACGTGCTCCACTTGCTACCGACAATGGCTGCAAAGGTCAGGTGAGAAAAGCCCTTTTCCATTCGCACAACAAACGTACAACAGGTCGTTACGCGCCAAGAAAAAAACGAGAACTGCCTTGCAAACAGCTAGCTACTTTGACAAACGACGTCTCTTGCTTTGGTTGAAGGATTCACCTCTTCTCATCACCCAAAGTTGCTGAGGATGACTTTGAAGTGTGGAACCCAGCAGATTCTCCTGAATGCCGACAAGCATTTGTGTTTCGTTGAAATCCTCACACTGTCGCTTTGAATGAACCATGAATCTGGGTTCCTTTCGTGGATGACAAAAACAACACAACCTGCATGTTCGGTGTGAAACCCCTGTCCGGTTTGACCCTCCTGATTCAGCTTCAGGAATCCACGACCAGCTACTCCCAGTGTCCAGAGCCATCCAAATCCTGTTGAAGGAAGCACATGACCTCATGAAACAACAAAATGAGAACCTTCACCAGGGGATGTGTAAACAGTGTACCTATTAGGAGATTCAGGTGTATATTATGGCCATCCGTTTTCAGGTGTACACCAGAGTGATCACTTGGTGGGTATGTTCTCGGACACAGCACCCCCGCACCTCTGTGGTGGGGTGCCGACGGAGAGGGCAGCGACATAGAGCCCAGACGCCCCTCGCTTCACCTCCACCTGGCCAGAAAGCCGGGCCCTGCCTCCCTGCTTCAAGACCTGCTCCGCAGGAGAATTCAGAAGTGCAAGTGACGGAGCGCCCACAAAGTGCCCCCCAGTGACCCCTTTTTTGGCGCGAAAATCCTCCGATCGGTCGCCTTAGGCGAGTTCACTGAGTTCACTGCCACCTGCAAAAAGGAGCTTCGTTTGTACACGAATGAGATATTTTTCAGACCAAGGCTGATTCGAGGAACAGGAATCTGTTGTTTGATTGAATTTCTGGCCCTCGAACAAGGCGCTCATGACGGTTGTTTGCTTGGGCAAAAGCAAAGACTCCTGCATTTGCTGCTCTCATCTAAGCAAGTGCTCGCTCTCAGATGTGGGTGCCACCTCCTCCTGGACAGGAGACTCAAACCAAATTACACTCCGCAGCTGATGCAACTTGAACCAAACATACAACACGTTTGAATGGTCCAAGACTCTGAATACCATTCAAAAGCAAGGTGGACAGTGAACACCCCATCCGAAGCCGAACTGTGCGCCTAACTTATTCCCAAGAAACCCAAGCCTCCACTGTATTGCCCTGCATTGGTGCCACATCATCCACCTGCGCCACATCCTCAGGTGCCATGTCAGCCACGCCCTCCACATCCTCCACTGGTGCTATATCATCTGCCGGCGCCACCTCCTCTGCTGGCGGGATGTCAGCCTTTGGCACCGCATCCTCCGCTGGGAGCACATCCTCTGCTGGTGTAGTGTGCTCAACTTTTGCCATAGCTTCCTCCGCTTGAGATCAGGATTGAAAATGGTTTGAATGTTGTAGATTTGTCTACACTCTACACTGGATTATGGCCTCACCTCCACAGCCTCCAGATGTGGCAGTTCCTTAGAGGTTCAGTGTTGAGCCACACTGAGGGTAGCATACAACGAAAGCTTTCAAAAGCAATCTGACATGACCTGGCCTGCAGGCTCAGTGCTGCATCTTGGGATAGGCGCTCAGCCGCTTGGGATAGAGGGTTCTCGTCCTGAACTGTTTCACTTAGGACACACAAAGGCCTTAGAAAGGCCCCGGATCTATGGGATCTATGCCGTGTAAACAAAGAGGACAAGAAGCTGTGGAATCTGTCGCGGGGTGCGTGCGTGGGTGCGGAGAGGGGTGGGTCCCTCTGATTGTCCGGCGGGACCACTGGTCGAGGTGGATTCTGAAAGGAGTGTCAGGAGACAAAAGACAGCGATGCACAAATAGTGGTTGCGAGTGACCTCGCTGCAGGTCAGCAACCGCGATATGGCACAACATTGTCCTACACTCCAGAACATCGTCAGAGAGTCAGAAATGCATTGTTCACTGCCGTGGCAGGCGAGGGAAGCTGGAATTCCAACGCTGTAGGTTGAAGTACGGACAACAGGCGATGGCAGCCGAACAATATCTGCAGGTACACACAGAGGGGACGCTACTAGGAGCAAAGGACGCTACTGGGGGCTCCTGGCATCGCTACTAGGAGCAAGAATTCTACTAGTGGCTCCTGGCCTTGCTACTAGGAGCAAGAACGCTACTAGGAGTTATGTTGCTGGCTGCGTGTGGATGGCTTAAATCGCCGCGACATCCACATCCTGCTGTCGCGCCTGAGCTTGCTCCTGTCAGGGAGTGCTGGAGCCAAGGAACCGGATGTATGGTGCATGATGCAAAAGTGCTCCTTGAGTCGTTTCGGTAGCTTGTGCAATCGCTTCTTTTGTGTAGACAATCTCAAGCTATGACATGAATGAAGAAGGATCTGAAGAGAAATCAGAAAAGGAGAGGTTTGAGACCTCACCATCTCAAGAGCATCATGACTAAACAAGGCATGTGACCACAGCATCATACACCTTGCGAAATCTCGCTGCATCGAGTCACATGTAACCACAATAGCGAATGAGAGTGCAACATTGCATCGGAAAAAAACACAGCATCGCAGTACATCACAACAGCAATGACAATGCAACATTGCGTCGCATCACACCACACCAAGAAACTCCAGTGAAACCTTATCGTGTCACGACACATCAAAACATCACACTCCTCAACATCACGGTGGCGCATGCGTTGGGATTGAACGGTGGCGCAGCAGCACTAGGGGCGTCGTGGCCGGTGCGTGCTATATAAGTCATTGCACGTCGCGTGATGACAGCAAGCAAGATCACAACGAAAAATACACGTTTGGACTAGTCCCATATGGCCCATACGTAATTGTTATAGGACTACTACAGGTAATATATTGTTCGGAAATCTTCTGCCCACAGGCCTCGCCGGGATGGACCCTGGTAACCAAGGATTTACAAAGGACCTTCACCTTCTGCAGATGAACAGGCCTCTGTGCTGTTGAAAGCATTTTCAGCTTCATGCTCCGTGTTGATGTTTGCCAAGTCGTCCATCATGTCCTTGGCATGCGCACAGTTCTGGCAAATGGATCCTCCTGACCACTAGAACAAAGTTATATAACTACAGTATGGTGCTTTCCACAAAAGACCCAAGAAGATTAATGTTAAGAAAGGCTAAGACTGGCCCAAGGAGTTGTAAAACTAGGTCACGGCAGCATTAGCGACGGTCTGGTTCTTGAGGTTTGTGCTAATTAGGTTGGTCACGGGAGCGTTTTTGCGCAGCCGCAGACCCATTGAAATGAAGAGGCTGGAAACAATGTCTTTTACAAAGGTTTTGTTGGATTTGTTTCTCCCCACGGGCCCTGCGTGCTCAAAATGCTTACCGTACGATCTCTCTGTGTAGCTGTGCTTTGAAGGAACAAACGTCACCACTTGGCCCCACCCTGCGACCCACAACAAACAGCAGTACTAGGACACAGCAGCATCTATCGGATGAGGACCCAAAAAAGACAAGGCCGCTAAGTGCTCACGGTCGCTACCGCCGCCGTGAGCCAAAGTACGATGCGTGGGGTGCTCTTACAAGGTAAACACACTTGATCCAACCCGAAAGTGAAGAAAATAGAAGAAACGTTTTCACGCTTCTTGGACCTTTTGTTTCCATTCTGGGACAAGTGGGACACCTTCTTTTCTCCAGAAGGAAGCAACTGTACAAGAGACAACCATAACTTGGCAAAATAAGCTCCGAACGATTTGGATATCAAATTCTTGCCCACTTCCTCAGAGTGATCGCTCTAAGAAACACGTGGCTCTCTTCCCAACTGATCAGCCTGAGCTGCCTGAGCTGGGGACCCTTCTTCTTTTCCTGAATGGCAAAATCAAACCCAGCAAAGTATCGTCAGCCCAACAAGTCCAATGCAACAAGCACAAGCTTAAAGCTTCTGAGAGAGCCCAATCGGCCCATACATTCAATTAGTCTCATCTGTCAAATCGACACTCCGGTTGATTTGTCCACTCGCTGCTCCAGCGCTCTAACAAATCCGTGTGCTTGTGTGGTTGCATCTTTGGTTGCCAAATCTCCAATGGACTTCCCTTTCCTCGTTGTTTCGAAGGAGAACACTGGTTGCTTCGAAGGAGTGTGCGTACCTTCTTGTTCCCTGAGACACCCTTCATCATGTTCAGAAACTCCGCGAAGCTGATCCTCTTGTCTCCATCCTTGCACCATCAACGGGCGTCATGAAATGTATGACAACATGTTGTGTGACTAACAGAGACCGAACTTTTAGCGTCCTTGCTCCTAGTAGCGATGCCCTTTGTTCCTAGTACCGTCTTGCTCCTAGTAGTAAGGCCAGGAGCCCCTAGTAGCGTCCTTGCTCCCAAGTACAGTTTGAAAGTGCGCATGCAATACGAAACCTGAATATGTTAATGTCCAAAGTTGTGCAAATGGACTGCTCCTTGATGCTGAACGTTCTTCATTTCCCGCATAAAAAGTCTCAATAAGTGTTGGGCCAAAAATAAATATTTCAAGGCTGCTAGTTGCTATCAGGAACATAGTCTCTATACTACTGACTAGTAACTTAGGACTTGTCGGACATACACGCCAATTCCAAAAGCCTATGTCATCAGGATTGATCCAACATTGGCATTTCCTCTTAAGGCCTATGTCATCAGGCCACAACCATCAAATTCATAGAAAATATGTATGAGGTATTCAAGGAAGCAGCGCCCACAAACACATAGTCGCACCCTATGTCATATGTCACCACTGTGTCACCAGGGTGCCAGGCAGTGGTATCTAGCATTATTTTAGCTGTTTATTATTACTTTATTTTTTGTCGAGGAGGTGTCCACAGGTCCCATGACACCAGGTTTCCCAACCCAGACTTTCTTTTTTGCTCGATATGTCAGGGCACATGACCTAGCCCTGAGGGTAGCCAGATTGGTATGTCACTTGCATCACGTTGGCCTAAGTCATTAGACAGTAGTATAGAGGCTTCTGCTGGTGCCTGACTTCAACCCGCAAAAACCCGTTGCAGCGCTCCTCATCCGCTTCTTTGATGAGCTCCCGACACTCGTGTGCACTGATGGCCTGACCATCTCAGTTACAGTGGACTTACGCTATTCTGAAGCCACGAATAAGAACAAGTCCAAGAAATCACACGACATGTTGCACCACCATGCCCGAAAAGCCAGTTTACTGGCTCTTGGGAAAGCTCCTGAAAATACTGATCCACAAAGTTCACTCAAAACAGAAGCAATGTGGCTCGCCAAAGGACGCCTCCTCTGGCTGACCATTGTTCAAAATGTTGTAAACGTCAGTATTTCCGATCCTCGGTTGGTCTTCTTTCATCTCGACTTGGGAATGTGTCCAGTGTTGCAAATCAGCTTTACTCATGTGGCTTCCCAAGCCAAGACACAATCCATCGCCATCTTGATCATAGATGCGGAAGACTGCCCAACAGGTCTCCTCCCGCGCGTAGACCTTGGAAAAAGAGGGCTGCGGTGCGGGTCCTGAATCTGGAGACATGCCCCAACTTCCCCAAATCCAAAGAGACTCCAAAGCACTGAAGCAAACCTTACACGGTTGGGATAGTTGTGGGTCACCAGCCAGTACCCCTAGAGAGCACCATACCACAGCTTGGAGATGCCCACCTGTAGGTCCAGAATCGATGCCACAAACCTCGATGCCAAAGGAAAGACTAAACGCTTCAACCGCAAAACCGACGAATCAATTCTCTACCTTCCGCAAACCGCAGCCCGCTTCTCGAACGAACTCACCGACTCCGGGGCTTTGGCTCTCCAAGCCCAATCTCTCCGCTGCCATCAGCATCCAAGCTATTCACCTGGCACTGAACGCACAAAATGGCTCGCGGCCGAACCAACGTGGTGAACTTGATACAAATCGTAGCGAAAGACCCTGCTTTCAACGATTCTTATAGCCCTGACGTTCGGCCGGTGAGGATCCGGAGGTCCCGGCCATCTCCTCTAAATCCTCGGGGATTTCGATCTCGGTCCATCCAGCCCTCTTCATACCTTCGACAAAAAGAGGGAACGGAGGCATCGCGGCTGCGGTCTAAACCGGAAAATCTGAAAGGATCTGCTCAAACAAAAGCCTGCTTCTATCTCCGCCGCATCAATATGTCCTTCTCCCGAGCTATCTATCCTGGGCTTTCGGAAAGATTCATGAAGAGAACTCCTGCTCCTTGGCTCTATTATACTTTGAGCAGGCGCACCACATGAAGGTATCAATCAAGGGCTTTGCAATCTCTGGTTCCAACCTGCATTGAATTTCCGTGCCACGACATGCAGCATACACGAACTCAAAACAGGCCAGGCAGGCTGAGAAACAATGATTTGCAAAGTAGCTTGCTTGAATTTGTTGAACCTGGCAGACCGGGAAGGGAGCTGTCAAAGTCTGCTGTCGCGGCATCCACACAGATGAAAACACAGGACGTGCACCCTACGTACTTGCGCATGTTCTCAAAGTACCTGGGACAACGAAGAAAACACCTGAGGCAAGGGTGTTTGCGAAGCTTTTCATCGCTGAGACAGAGACTTCTGCTTCAAGGGAGCTCTCAAGACAGGTGCCTTTGCAGGGCATTCGGCAGTGAAAATATCAATGTTGCACAGTGTGGTTCCCTGGTTATGTCAACAATCAAGCCCAAAAAGGGGACGGTCTTCATTCTTGCTGCTCCATTCATGCCAATCACCCAACAAATCGAAGCACTGCATTCATGCGCCCAGCCGAAGGACATTCCATAGGGATCCAGAATCCAGAGTGCAAAGTTGCGCAAGGGAACAGATTCGCAAAATCCAGCAGTACGATCGAACCCAAAGACAGTTAGAATGTGGCAATGCCGATAAGGCATGAAAGGGGTTGAAAGGAGATCTGAATCTACAAGTAGTTTCGTGAAGTGTCGTCTCACTTGAGAGCAACCGGTTGTCCGGACAGGCGGCAACAAAGTCGAAAATCGCTTCGATAAATCGGAATTCAATTTGCCGAAGTATTGATGCAGGGGCCGTAGAACATCAGTTGGAACGTCTGTCTCCCATTGGCAAAGTCACCAGACAGAGGAAACTTCTGTCTCTTATTGGCAAAGTCATCAACGGCACACGAGGCAGAATGACACAGGATTGGCCACTGAAGGGAACACCCACGAAGGGAAACGGGGCTGGAAGGCACGAAAATATTGCTAGGTCAGCGGCCCGCCTAGTGACAAAAGAGGTTTCGACACAAGCAAGTTGAGCAATAGGACAGCAATACGTGCCTTTTGTTTTTCCTCTTACCCAGAAGGCCGGCGCACAAGAATACACACACAGGAAACCTTAGAAGGGCCAGCACGAGGCTGATCTGCAAAGGAAGAAATTTGGAAACTTTGCTCGGCCCTTCGAGCCAAGGTAGGGACAGCTAATAAGGTTCAGCATTACTGCGCGTCGAAAACACATGTTGGACACAAGGATCATTGAAAATATGAGCCTTAACTGTGATGAGGGTAACAAAGGGTAACGCTATGTTGCCGCAAGATTTCGCAACCACCGAGTAGATCTATGCAGCGATGCATGAAGAACCACCGAGCTGAATTCCAGCCCGATGAACTTTTGGAGGGTCTTGATTGCACTGAGGCAATCGCTGGCTTGCAAGGGTCGCCTTTGGTGACAGCTACTGTATAAAACGAGCAAGGATTTCTGCACGTAGATGAGTCTGTTCAGCATCCGGCAAAGAAACGTTCTCGATGTAGGTACAGGGAGCAAAGGAGCACAAACAACGCCGGTATGCCAGGGTGTCAAATGGCAGTGGAATCTGGCCAAACACATGCAGTCACGGTACGCGAGGCATTGGCAAACGCCAAAAGTCGCAGACCTGTAAACACTTTGCCGCCTGCAAGAGTACCAGTGACACTGGCGCTATATTGGGGAGGTGACCGAAGTGCGGACGCGAGTAGCCTTTGCTTTTGATTCTTTCCACAAGAAGGTGTCAGCGAATTATCGTGGTCAGTTCTGGTTCAACCTGCATGCCATCTTACTATTTCCTTGCGCCATTAGCAAAAACAACCTGGCAGCAACAATTCTGCTTGTGATACAAGTAATCAGTAATGAGAGCTATTTTGAAGTTGTAGCTTTACTTATTGTCCAATTTTCCAGGTCGAGTAGTCTGCAATTCGAAGCAATATTCCCACCAAGTGCCATGCTGTCTGGATGATCCATTGATCAAACAAGGCCTAACAACTTTACGGCAGGCACTGCAGTAAACGTTGTGATCTCTGGAATGTCTATTTTCGCAAACTTCTACAACCATTTGTCTCAAAAATGTCTGGATACTCTTGTGCACTGACTACTGATGTTAGACTCAAACATCCCGCCTGTTTGGCACTCACGCGTTCTATCTCACTCATTCGAAGAAGACCACGGATCAAATCCTGCGCAACGTGCTCAGCTGAAAGCTATTCTGACAGGGTTCAGGGTTCGCCCGCTGATTCGGCTCTTCGGCCAGAAAAACACCGTGTGGGTCATGTGTTGAACCGTTTCTCTGGTGCCTTGGCCATGTCAGAGATATGCCTCCAGTCCGCATCGTTGAAGCTGAAGTTCCCAGAACGAACCCGCGACAAGATCTCGGCCTTGGCAGGGACGTCTACATCAAACCAATCCTTGCAAACACACAGGTCTTCAACTGGACAGAAACAAAATCTACGACATGTTGGGCTTTGCAATTTTTCATATTATGTGTAGCCATAAAATCAAAAATATCTTATGAACTGCAGCGCTTTCTCAAGAATCTTTGAGGGAAAGGGTTGTCAAATTGAAATCCTCAGCCTCAGTGTTTGGAGAAGTTTTTGCTCAATGCAAGAAAGTATTATCTATTCATCACTCTGCATCGCCTTCGTTCCACCCAAAATAATGCCAAAAATGCTGCATTGCTGTGGTGCGTGGCATCGGAATCTCCAAAGAAAGGTGGATAGCCGCACAGCAAGATGTACATGATAGTCTGACAGAAGCAGCTGATCACTCACTACAATGTTGAAAATTGTCATCTGGTTTTAGCCTCAAGAAAAGGTCATTGATATGGAACATCAAACTGAACGTTCAAACATGGCTGGCATGCGCCAACAGTCCACATGTCCGTCGCCTGTGCAATGTGACTGGTCTGTTCAGTCGAACTGGGCCAGGCCAAAAAACAAGAAGCTACTAGTAACGAAGGGCATCGCTACTAGGAGCAAGCACACTACGAACGGAGCTCCTGGCCTGACTACTAGTAACAAGAAGCTACTAGAAGCAACAGAGCTCCGCGCCCCGGCGCCCCTCATTTTCTGACCGCGCACAAGTTCTCCTCAATCCTGGTAGAAGTTAAAGCCCCGAATCTCAGCCTGGGCACCTCCGGCAAACATCGTCAAAGAGTCACAAATGAAAAAACAAAAGCTCCAGATTGCGGACTGGGACACCAGTAAAGATATCCAATTCAAGAAAATTTGGGTGCTTCAGGTGGTAGATCCCAATACTCTCATCCATGGGATGCTGGGTGGATGTGCGAAACAACATGTTTATGAGAGGAGGGTGACACACGAAGTCACCTAACCTAACCTTTACAAAGTGTCTGTGCGGGGCGAAGCGTGTTACAAATGCTTGGAGTGCCCGGATGCCTATAGCGTAGCGTCGAGGCAGCCAGGTCGTCAAGGCGATCTGAGTCCATGCTTCGGGTGACTGGGACAAGTAGTAAGTCATAGTTCATGTTCAGGCTTAGCCACTCCTCCACATCTGGGTGGCCATCTCAACAGCTACTTCCAATACTCAAATTGAGTGCACGGTTCGTTGAAGGTTGATAGAAGACTCATGCCATGCATTGGCAGGTAACAGGCTGGGCAGGTATTGACGGGCAACTCTTTGTCATATATGATTTGACTCACCAGTGACTGGCTGACTCGGCTACCATTGGTCATCCAAGTTGGTACATGTTTGCCATGGACATGAGAAACCTAGCAAATTTGACAGCTCAAGTCCATTCCAGGTGCTAGCCTCGTCAAGAGGAAGCTCAGAGCATTATCAAGTGTATAAAAGCCTGTGACGAAAGAACCCCTCATCCGCCCAACATTCCTGACTCAGCCAGGCCACTCGTGCTCCTACCACCAGGTCTTTGCCTAGGCCACTCCATGTGCCCAGCCTGCATGACAAAAACAACGGAAAGGAAGCGACAGGAATCAGGGCTCTGCAAGTGCCGTGTATCCACATGATCTGGGCCCAGCGTCTGACAGGGTCCAACAGGGTCCCACATGCCATGTGGATAGGGTTGAGTCATATTCAATCCATAGCTCCGAGGCCTCTTACAAAACGGGAGCCTTTTTGGGGAGGACTGGTCGGACGGGCCATCAAGAATTCTCAGGCCAGTCTGTCAATTCATGGCAGCTGTCCAGAGCCTCTGTGAAGGTGGACTTTCCCCAAAGGCCTGTCAAGGCAGTGAGGAGTCCTTCGAAGATGCTCGCTTGACCCTTTTGGAGTTGAAGTGCCGTGAGAGCTTCCGCACGAAACACAGGAGACTTTTGTGAACAAGCTATCTAACAGGTAGGAGACCAGTCGATTTTTGGATCCTCTGAAATCTTTTGGGTAAGTTGACAAGTGGATGATGATCACGCCTGTGTCTCCAGCTCTGCGAACGTCAAGTCACACCGCTGGAAGCAGCGCCACGCCAAGCAGTCACCGGAACGAAGGTCCATTTGAAACACCTTCAAATGAGAGATTTTGCCACAGGGTATGGCTGTGTTCAAGGGGTCTGATCTCCACTGCTCAAGTGAAGATCGGCTCAACAAACTCAGATCAAGAGAATGTAAGCTAAGAGAAAGTCCAGCTCAAAATTTGCACAACAAGTCTTCGCTTCACGCTCCCCCCTCCGGGTGCCTGGGTATCAAACCGATTTCGCCCTTCAAACTCGTGCGTGCCGTTGGGAGGCTTCGCGCGTCCAGTTTCCCTCCGCGTTTGAACAATGCCGCGCTGCAAGGCGACAATCTCAAAGGTTGCCAGCTGAGGTGTGCGTTCCAGCGGGCGAGCAATGAAGAACTGCATGCCATTAAATGTTGCAGCATTGTAAGGAGTCACCAAAAAAAGATAGCTTAGCAGGCCTTGCCAGACTGGGGCTAACGGGAAACCTCTGAAGCACAAGGAGAGGTCCACGCTGAGCCGATCTGCCTTTGATTTGTCGGCCTGCAGCCCTCGCTGGGCTGCCTCCTCCAGCTCCTGTTGGGACTGAAAGCCCGCCCACCTGGTCGAGTCGGCCTTCAATAAATGGGCCACGCGCAGAAGATGAAAGGTCATATCCTGGTGATGTTTGAGAGAGCAAGAACGAGCAAGAGTGTGAAAGAAATTGTTCTGACATCAAAAAACTATTTAAGTATTATATATGTGTGTGTATGTATATACAGTATATATATGCTAAAAATTGGTGGCCAAGGGTCAGCAAATCCCCCCGCATTGGCGTGGATGAAGCACACAGCTTTCTGAAATAGAACGGACTTGATACTTCCCATCTCATCTTTACCAAACTGACGAGGAGAGATTGAACGACGGGCCAGGTTCACCACAAAGGCACCTCCATAATCCAATGTAACCTGATGGGAAGTGGAACCACTGACAACGTCGCTTTTCATGACACGCAAGCGAGAACCTGCACTGTGCAACAAAGAGAGTTCCTTTTGCGGATCAATAGATAAAAGATTCATAAGCACGGCAACATCAGCAAAATGAACCCTTCACAGCTGCCTCACCTGCTCAGGGTGCTCAATCAAGTATTGATTCCAAAGATATTGGTGAGTCTTTCCGTGGTTCTGATAAGCTTCTCCGCGTGCATTGACTTCCGGTAAACGGCCTTGAAGATGCAGCAGCTTCCTTCCCACCAAGTGCATTTGGGAACTCTCGAAATCAAGGTTGATGCTGAAACCCAACTTTCGTACACCTAAAGTTCACTAAATTAAAATTGAGCCTTTTGCTACAACGTTTTCCTTGTAATTTCAACTGGTTGAGTTGTGTCAAACCGTTTGGCCTTCCTTGTAAGTTAGCCGACTTGCTGCTCTTAAGCTTCGACGCTCCACGCGTGCCTCAGAGCTACTTCCAAATCTGCAGCTCTTCCTCCATAGAAGCCACCATTGAGGTATTCTCCGGCCACTGGCTGCTTAGATGTCGCGGACAATATGGCCAATGTTCACACAATGTTTATTAGCAAAACATTCCACACATCTGGGACCTCAGCCTTGGAGCAAGGATGCCACTAGGGGCTCCTGGCCGTACTACTAGGAGCAAGGACGCTACTAAGGACTTGGGTTCTGTGAATTGATCCTTTGTTTGCATCGATACTCCATACCAATGAGGCGCCGCTGATTCGGAGCCACTGCTCATCAATCCACCCACTTCAGACCAAGCCAAGCATGGCTCATGGTCATCTGCAGGCCTTCAGAGCCAATATGTGCAATCATGAATATCTTTGTGGCATGCGTGTCGTGTCTCATTAATCTGCCGGATGCACTGGCCAGGATAAGCAGAAGCTTGATAAGGAAACCTTAGAAACCTTCTAGGCACTCCACGGCCTATCCAGGCCTTCCACTTCCTTCTGTTTATTCAGCAAGCAAGGAGGGATCTTGTGAAACTCTCTTGCCTGGGCTCCCAAATCAGCTCCACAAAACGCACTTCGCGGCAACGAGGCATTGGCTTCTTTCGCAACTGCAACGACGGCCGGGAACAGTACTACGTCGTAACATGTTCCACTGTCCGTCGTTTACCTTCTGCCGTGCCTGACACCAGAAGCCAACATCAAATGTCAGCATGAATACTTACAAAACTTACAAAATAATTACAGAATATCACAGAACTATTCAACTTACTGCTTTTGCCATCAGCCGTTGCCTGGTCTGTGTTCAGCCGGGCTCTTGAATGGCTGCCTGCTGCGGCTGCGGGATAGCCAAAGAGGCCAGCTGGATAAAGGTCGAACCTCAAGAGCCCACTGACGGAAACCACTGGCTTCTGCAGCATTTCTTCCCCACTATCACCTGTCTTTTTCGCTCACAAGCACAAAATGGTTTGAGAGCCGAACTCAACTCCAAAAAATATGGGCCGCTTGAGCTCTTCCAGAACCTGCAGATGCAGCAATCGCAGCCACCGTTTCTCGACCTGTTCCCCGCACAGATCTACTGGTGTCCTTGTTCAGATTTCTCTGGCAGTCCAGGAAGGCTGTGTCAAAGGCATCTGAATAAATAACCAGTCGGTCACCCAGCCCTGCTCTTGTGAGGCGCGTTACATAGGACCTAGGTTCACGGTGCGGACTGGTGAAGCAAAGTTTCGAGAAGCCTGTTGTTGCCAATGGATGCTTTGTTAGCAAAGCAAGGACTGAAAAGCAAACTTTGTCCGAGGTTCAAAAGGTATCGCTCTGAGTCAAACCATCTGTATCTCCAAGGCCTCTCTTCTGCCGGTGGCTGAAGCAGGCGCAAGCGCAGAGGCCACTTCAAGGAGGCAACGAGAGCATGTGCACGTTCAGGCTTGTCGGTGACAGCAACCACATCGAAGGGCCCCCGTCCCAGGTCCTTCAAAGCCATGAAGGCTTCACGGTGTGAGAAGCTGCAGTGTTGCGACAAAAATGAACAAACACAATCTGAAACAGCAAAACAAACTATCAGTAACTATATAACGGAACGACCCATGCCTCAAAGACCTCTTCGTCCAGTGGCTTCAGAGGCAGAGGTCCAGGCGGTTGTGGCCCAAAGAGTCTCACCACGCGTATCTCTGAATCCAAGGATGATGGTGAAAGAGCCTTGCCCAGGAATTGGCAAGTCCAAGTCAGTCATCTTGCTTGTGTGCAAAACATTTGGACGTTCATCGGTTTTCTGGACTGTATGGGGCGTGCTGAACAATATGTTGCCTCCATGTCCAAGCCCGTTCACGCACGTTCAATAAAACGATTTCCTGCCTGGACGCCCGAGAGGTCACGTCCCAAGCTGCGCCAAAACAACATCTTCAGCACCTGCCGTAAATCCTCTTCCTGTCCCAAACACGCCAAAGGCACGCAGCCAGCAAACCAATCACCACCTCCCTGAGAAGCAGCAGCTTCTGCTCGTTCCGATGCTGCTGCGCCAGCGTTGCGATCCATGACTGTTTCAACTCGTTCGTTTTCTCGTAGCTTCTCCCTCTGCCTCGAGGATCCCCACGGTAGCGCACGAGGGCAAAGCTTTCCACGGCACTGCTGTTTCATGCTATCCTCAAGGACCTTTGGAATTCGCATCGCCACAGAGATGAGTCCAACATCACTGCTGACGCATCGATGACCTGCTCTTTGTACCACGATCCCACTCGCCACTGGAGACAAGGCCCTGGCACTCAGTGCTGCAAGCCTCTGAGCAAGCCCAGACTTCCAAATCTGCTGACGGCTGCAACTTAGCAAACCGACGGCTCCTTTATTGAGTTTGTCTTGGTGTTTCTTGGAGTCTGAGCTGGTTGATGCACACCTCGACGTGGTGCAGTATTCTCCTCCTTTCGAAACCAGATGAAAGGCATGGGGTCCTTCAACCTATGTCTCCCCTCAGGCTGTGCAAGAAAAGAATGTTGTGCAGTGAAATGCGTCCATCAGCGATGCAACAAGTATGCAATAATAAACTGTTGTGCAAAGAGCCTCATATACTGCATCAGCCTGGCTACGAAGCAAGACTATTAATACCCTGAAGATAAACTCGTGCTCATGCTGACAGCCGGTGTGGGTGATTAAAGTCAAGTTAAGCTTGCCATTACCATGCCTAATTAAAATCAGAAAACACTCTGTGCAGTGTGACGGCAACAACTTACAGTAGTTCTCCAATGTCTATCAGTCTCAATATGGACTCAAGGTCAAAAAGAAGAACCCCATGTCTCCTGCAAAGGACAGAAGCAGAACGGCTGGCCATGATGTCATGGGAACATAAGGCACAAAAAATGTGTCTCATCGAAAGAAAACCAAGTAGGAAAGTGCGCTGGGCATGACCTCAAACTCTTGGTGATGGGTTTGAAAGACAGACAGTAGACTCTGTGCATCAATCTTCAGGTTGCATCCTACTATATAGTGCTGTCAAATATAGAATGGTCTTTAGTTGCGACGTGATGTCTCAAAGTGTTTGTTTAGCTGCATGAACTAAAAGCTGCCAACTTCAAGGCAGCTGAGGACTCAAATGGCATTGGAAGGCATTCATGAACCATGTCTGTGCAAGAATCCATGATCTGTGCTTTGTTCAAGATTGACTAGCTGACCTGCCTCAGTGTACTTCCCAGCAAGGATCTGTGGAGAGACAAAATATGGCCTTTAGGACACAGCGCTTTGATGTCTGCGGGCTGAGCAAAGCTCTCTCCAGTCCGAACGCACCCCGTGCAAACAAGTCCAAAAATTCCAAACGCTTAAGAATCAGGCGCGCCCACTTTCGTCTTCAGAAACTGTGCAAAGTCAAGTTGTCGTCTGAAGTGCATCGACAATGACAACTAAAAACTAGTCGTGTTCATTGTTTCTTTTCCAAACATGCTGCCTTTGCAGTTCGGTCAGGGGTAATGCTGCTGAAGAAGACAAAATACTCGATTACAACAACACACAATTGAAAGGGCGAGCTGGCCTGGCCCTCTTTGAAGGACCGTGCAAACCCAAAGTCAATGATCTGAGGCAATTCAAGAGATTCGACTATTTAACTTGCCGGTCTGACAAGCTTCGAAGCCTTGATCATGTTGGCTTCTATAGGACCTACAGAGTTTGCTTCCACACCTCTGCGCAAACCCTCTTTTTGTGTTCCTTTCATTACTGTATCCAGCGGGCCTTCACCAGCGAACATGAAATTTTCGATTTTCAAGTCTCGATGTACGACCTGACGAGAGACGCCCCAAAGGATTGGTCTCTGACCCCCCATGGAAAAGCACCCATGGCCCATATCTATATATGGAAAACGAAGCTGAAAGGGATCTCTTTGGGCCTTCATGGTGTGGAGGTAGTACACTCCACCTTATGACAAGACGAAAGGGATGCAAACACAGAGAATGTCGTGCGCATGCAACAAAGTGGATGCCAAGCTGCGGAAGATCTGCTGCATTATGACTGCACCCTGCCGGAGAATAGGGTCAGCTTGGATGCTTGCATTCTTGCACCATCCACACCTGCCTGGTTTTCCGTAAAGTGCCCCACTTCCAAGAGCCGGTCGAACAACTCACCCCCTCGACAGTACTCCATGACCTGAGAGTTGTGCCCGACCGGGCAGACCGTGTGAAATGAAGAATAGCATAGAATAGCGATGGCCTCCAAGGGCACCAAATTGGTTGCCCCTTTACAGAGCTGACGAATGAGCCCGAGGCCATGTACATATACCTTTTGTCCTTCAGAGTGGGGACGTGTGGTTCGAACAGAGTTCAGGCTTTATGCCAAACTTTATGCAAAAGAAAATCGGCTGAAAGAGATTCTACTCAACAACTACCCACCCAATCCTCGAAGTGTTCATACAGCTTAACAATGTGTGGGTGGTCGAGCCTCGCCCATTGCGTCCGAGTAAAACAAGTTCAAACCGGTACGTGAAGAGTGAAGATACCCTGCAAGAAATCTGAGAGTTCTGCATCTTTAAGGTGGAGAGCTCATTCTGAAACCTCACTCACTGAGAAGCCTTCTAACTAAAGTCGAATCTGATCCCCCCGAAACCGAACTCTGACTTGCATCACTTTAGACTCCGGCATGATCAACTGCGACTTTCGGCGCACTTTTCGCAGCATTTTGACGGCACGTTCCGCACCAGTGGACTTGTTCGTGCACCTGGGGACATGATGGGCGGGACCTCCAAGCCTATGCTCTTTTGAACGCAACAAGTGTCGCGCAGCACTCCAGTCTGTTTCATGTCAAATTGACCCTGATGTAAAGGCACAGTCTGACACCTTGTCTATCATAGACAGAAATGTCTTTCCCAAGTGGCCCCTTTGGGTCGTACCTTGTGGCACCCCTACCAGATGATACCAATTATCCTTTGGCTTGAACTCAGTTGCCCTCCACAGACCCAGGGACCCCACATTCCAGAACCCTCTGTGGCCCTGTGGATTCTTTGCTGCAGCTTTCATTTCCATCCATGACCTCTCGTGAAGCATCCGAGGCCTCATCTGAATCTGGTTGCTCAGGTCACATCTTCAATCTTCATCTATCATCACCATCATCGTGCAGCCCAAGGTGAATTGCAATATCATCTGGCCAGCATATCTCATCCAGTGATTTCCTGGGATCCTCATGGAACGCATACTAGCGCATTGCTGGCGCGAATGTCTTCTATGTACTGGACGACTGCTCTTCTTTCTCTTGGTCCATTGACCATCACAGTTCGTTGATTTTTCTTGAAAACAATTGGAAAGACGGATCATGTCTGACACGCCTTCTCTGTCAGACATCCATCGTCACTGTCGGTAATTAACTTGATGCCGTCTAATTATCTTCCTCTCCACCTCTGTCTTCTTCTTCTTCTTCTTCTTCTTCTTTTTCCACTGTGCCTTCTTGCGCCCTTCATTTCTGTCCAACTTCTTTGCTCTGAACCTATCTGTCCAACTTCACATGTATCGCAAGTCAGGTCGAGTTTGTCACCCATTTTTGCGTTGACATGGCTACCTCAAAAGCAAGATCCACAACATGGAGTGTAGGAAGCAAGGCAAATGACAAACCTGCCCGCAACTGAAACAGCTGCTCGACATGCTTGAGGCTAAAGCTGCCGCCTTTGGCAGGCAACTACTCCATATAATCTACAGCCGGACAGCGACAAACAAATGGAAGAGAGAGAGAGAGAGATCCCCTACAAGAATCTTCTAGATAATGGTAGCTTTTATCAGCTGTTTCCTCCACCCTGTTTTGACTTGATGAATTGTTTCGAATCAATTGCTTTTGCAACAATTTTGATCATTGCCATCACTGATCGTGTCCACCTTTGTTCCTACAGCTCGAAACACGAGATTTCAACGTGACGAATCAAAAGAAACCTGTTTGTTTGCAGTCTGAGGCGGGAGCCTGCAGACCCGCCCGAAGGAGCCTTCACCAATCTTAGTATCCTCTACATCATAGAAGTCCTCCAAGCAGAAGACTTCTTGGTTCTTGCAAACTTGAACTTTGCAATATTCCACCAAAAGAAAAGGTCTTGACTTGCAACGACGAGGCCTCGATATCGCCTTTGTTGTCAATAATGTAGATGGCAAAACCTGTACAAAACTTACATGCGAAGAACTGCAAAACGGGCAACAAACAGGCAAGACTGACTGGGTACTTCATCGATTTCCTCCAATAGGTCAGCCTTATCCTGAAAACCGCGATGTGACCAAGAAGAGCCAAAAACCGACCGATCAAGGCAACTATTCATGTTGACCTCTGGCTTGTCAGTACCTCTGCTGCATCAAAAGACGAAGAAGAAGTCTCCCTTTAATGTGGTCTGGCTTGAGCAGCGCTGACAGTCTAACACTGACTACATATGTTTCTGCACCACCCGTCCTCTTTCTGGCTCTTCAGGCGCTGGCTTTCAAGTGGCACTTTCCTCTGCAGCCACATTCCCACTCAAAGCACACATCGATACTCTCTAAGCATGTTGCCGTGCCCCGCGGAGTGTGGCCACCTGAGATCGGCCCATGAAACTGGAATTGAAAAACAACTGCTGAAACAGTGCAGGTCACATCTGAGTGTTCCACACAGCTGCCCATGACCCAACCATAGGCCACCCTTCACCAGCTCTCACTGACTGAAACCTTCATCCGCGGCCATGCGCTCACCTTCCTTGCGAGCAAATATCAATTCCGCAGTTGACTGCAAACTAGATTGAATCGATGTTCAAGGTTGCACCAACCCCACTTCAATCAACACCTCCACAGCCGGAATGGAGCCAAGCTGCTGGTGGAACGAATGGCCGAAGGAAAACGCTTGAGCAAGGATAAATCCAGTCCAGCAAAGATTCAAAGCTCTGAGTCAATAGGCGTGAAATGTCGCATGACATAACATGTGGCCAATCCTTGAAGCCTTTGAATGATTTGTTTGCAAATGGAAAGTGTACAGTGGTTCAAAGGCAGAGACCAAATACAATCTGACTGTATGTCTGGCCTTTGTTGGTGCTGCTCCACAAAGTCCCGATAAACTGCCTGCTAAAAGCACCCAGGATGCCTCAGAAAACAATTGGATTGAGGCATCATGCATGCAACCCTGACATACTTTCTTTACAACGTCAAGTGGTAAAACGGATGATATATCTCCAAAAATAACAGCTGCGACAGCAAATTTAAACCAAGAGCGAGACCCAGAAATTTACGCACATCCTCCAATCTATTTCATCGGAGGAGTAAATCAATCGTCTACGATTGTAATCCTCCAAGTTTGCCTGTCTTGCAGAGTAGTTGGAAGAGAGTGCTGACTTGTATTATATATAGTAATGTTTGCTGCCACTGCATCAAAAATCTCAAAAAAAATATGTCAAGGAGATGAAAAGTGACATGAGCAATGTGTGAAAGTGTGTGTCCATTCCATACCAAAAGATCCGGAGGATGATATGTGTACGTGTAAATATATAAACACAGTCCCTGCAACATGTCAAATTGTTGCTGTTTACGATGCAATTACGATTCAGGTACTTTCCATAGCCAGAAGACTTTCAATCCAACTGCCTTGAGCATGAAATAGACCGGTCCCTATTCAAGCACCCAGGCTTGGATTTCGCTGTTGTTGCAAGAAGAAAGTGTGCAGCCCCCAAGGAACAAGTCTGTCAAATACAATGCGTCTGTCAACAGGGAAGCTTCCCTGCCTCTGGAGGGACAAAGTACACAAATTGTTTTTGGATTATCACGTCGCTGCATGCACAACCTTGTGTTCCAACCATCTGGGTTGATTGATTGACCGACACATGGTTTTTTACGCACCTTTTCTTGATTCACAAAAGGCTGTGAGTGCATTCTGTGATGTTAGAAATGCTATACAACTAGACTGTGATCTGCATGGAAAATGGTTCGCACTCCTTCTTGGCACTGTGAAACTCTAAGATGCTCACTTTGCCACCATTGTCCATTTGTTCCACTCAATTCTTGTCTCTCTCTCTCTCTCTGCAGGCTTATTCATTTCTTCCAGGAACTGGGTCCCTCAAGCGTACTTCTGATGGATCAACATCTGGCTTGTCCCTTCTGTATTCTGCTATTTCAAGTAGTTGTTCATACATGTTCTTGTTCTCGCTCACATCTATATGCAAAATTTTGGTCTCCTATCCCTAGTAGGTTCCATGGCTGCACGTTCATATCCTCAATTTTGGCATCGAGTCTACCACACATCTGTATTGCTTAGTCTGATCTCATTGATGCTTCCCTATTCCCTCTTCTGAATGTTCTGCTCAGTGGTCCCTCTGATGGGTTTGCTCCTTCCTTGGCTGCCTCTGGCATTACTCTGTGTTCTTCACACCATCCTTCTGTAGCTTGCATAGCTTTCAAACCCCTTCTGGCTAACTAGTTTCCTGCATGATCTCACTCAAGACGCTATAGCTGAGGATACTTTGTGTAGTTGGTGTTTCTGTGAATTCTCCTGACATAGTCTTGAAGTGTGTCCAATTTGTCTTCAAATTCTTCTCTCCAATTTCCAAGCCTTTCCTCAACTTCATCAATTCGCTTCTCAACCCTCTTGATTAAAGTCTGCCTTAAAGCTTCTTGTATGGGTTTCTTTGGCATGTAGGGCTGTGTTTGTAGGTTTTGAAGAATACACAGATCACTGCTGCAAAACCAATAATGTTGAACACAAGGACCATGACAATCCAGAATTCCCATTCTTCATTGGAATTTTTCACTGCGTCCAATCCACACTGAATGCTGTTTCCTTTCAGGACTGCTTCTGTAAACATTGGCTGCAAGCCCTCCAACGCTACCATTCTCACAAGCATCTTTGCAATCTTGTTGACCTTTCCTGCGAAATTCTTTTTCTCTTCAAACACCCTTCTCTCATACTCTCCTACTCTGATTTGATCTTTCTTCACTGTGCCAAAAGCCAATCAAGTTCATCAAGTATCTGACTTTTTGTCCTCCAAGCGGCTTTGTATTGATGTCTGCCATGTTGCTATCTGTTGGTACTTGTACCATCCTGAAATCTTTCCTTTGATTTGTTGAATCCATGACAACTTTCCATCCAAGTGTCTCGCGTTTCCAAGGCCTCTCTTCATCGCAAGTTGGCGTGCACTTGATGAATCTGTGTAGATGTAATGGTCCACCTTTGTCCCAAGGGCAAGTTCAAGAGCTGCGCGAATATAGATTCCATCTAACGCTGAGGAAACTATTGAGTGCAGTTCTGCTTCACACACCGATAAGTTAATGATCTTCTCTGTCCCGCTGCTGTGGAAGAATGGACAACTATTCAATGCACAGAATCCGTTTGCTTCAACCCCAGTCTGAATCTGCAGAATGTATCCAAGCACCAATAGCGTTCTCCTTTCTTGACATAACCTTCTCCTGCTTGTGGAAATTCAAGTGCTAGACAATAGTCCATAGTCTTCTTCAAGTATCGTAAAAACTTACTGTAACTTCAAGTGATGAAACGACATAGCTGTAGGATTTGACATTTTTGAAGCCAAATCCATCACTGTGAATGGTACATCATACCTGTCTTGACAAAGGTAGGTACCTGATCCAACGATTCTTCTGAAAAAGCTGATCTTCTCTGGCTCATGTAAGACATCTGACTTGTCCTCCATCTGGATTGAGTTGTCTGATGGTAGCAGGCTTTGCTGGGCTTAATTTACCTGATTGAATCAAAAATCCATCAACTTCTAGTTCGTACTTGCCCCTGAGGAAATTGAACTCGCCACCAACCCTCTCACTCTTGATCACAATGGTGTCAAACTTGCCTTGAATCTTTGGAAGAAAGATTTGATTGATGTAATTTGAGTCTCCTGTGACAATCAAGTCATCTACATTGATGAAAATGACATTCTTTTTACTTCTTCCTCAGCACTGAACTTACAATTGAGTTCCTCTGTGACGCGCCGTGTGGAAAAAGTCAAACCATGCTTTTGCTCCAACTTGTCCAGGTGGATTTCTCTTCACCAATTCTCCTCTCAAGATCACTTTCAGTAGTTTCTCCTGTAGAACTTGCAGGAATGCATCTTTCACATCAAACCATCTCAGTGCCTGTTTTTGCACGAGTCGAGCCGCCATTCATGCAGGAAGTGCACAGGTCAGCTTGCGCAATTTTTGTAGAGTCTCCAGCATGAGAGGGGACCAAACAACAAACAAAATCAAACAACGCCCCAAAACCAAACAAAACCGACAAAGAAAAGCACAATGATGGAGACTCTTGGATGTACATGCAAGGGTGAAACAGAAATTGGGCAATGAATTACTGCAAAAGGCCACCAGACGGGCTATCCGAAATGCGGTTCGAAATGATTGCTGGCAACGTCAATGACACTTGGTCTATAGGCCTGTTTAAGCAGGCCATCACACCGAGCACTAAGAAAATGCGCTCTCCGAACTCAAAATATTGCATAGCACTTGAAGAGGCACGGGCAATCTGGTCGGACAAACTGTGACTAACTGCGCTTGAGACAATGGGTATATTTGAAATGCGCATATGTCCTCTGCTCATGATTTTTGGCTCTCGAAAACCACTGGTGACAAAAGCAGCTCTAACGCGCCAAACGAGAGGGCAATTCATTGCCACCAGTGCGGCCCTTCGTTGTTGTTCAGTGTGTTTGACTGTCTATGAGATTAAGGTGGCTCTCAGCACAGGCACATCGAAGGGGCAGGAGCATTCGAAGACCCCTGCTGCCTCCCTCCACAGGAGGGAGGGAGGTGAGGAACAAGATGTTGGAAGGCTACGGGTAATTGACCCCCCATGCCATCGCCTAATACACATACCCAAGCTTCTGCAACGAGCAACAGCCCAGCTGAGAGATAAGACAACGGTTTATCCCTTCGCGTCAGGTGAAGAAGAAGCCTTTCTCTCGCTAAGTGGCATTGTCTTGTTGGCAGCACGGCTGATCAGCGGTACGTCCTGCATCAGCACTTGGTAAACCTCGGCCTAGCAGGGCCGACTGCACCAATCCTGCATTGGCATCTCCAAGCGGGACCACTGAACACACACGTCCTCCCCTTTCGCTCAGCTTGCCATCTCTGTGCCAACTACCAATTGGGCCTTTGAAGAGGCCGGTCATGTCCCTTAGTGAGTGGGAAGAGTACCGACGAAGATCCACATCCACAGTTCTTATCAGGAGCACTGAAAGCAATCTGAATGGTATCATCGGTTTTTTACAGAGGTGATCAACAGAATCTTGCCGGCAATATTTGCCTTCTCGCAATTGGGATGCCTTCTGGCAAGCCACCTCTGCACGTGGCATCCTGGACCTTTCAAGACCACATCCAGGCCAATGCACCCGGCAGTGCTTCCTCTCTGTGATCAGGCAAGAGGATACCACCAGTCCAGAGCAGGGAGCTGGGAACCAGCATGCAGTCATCTCAGTGCACAAAGTAGTGGCACAGAACTTCGAGCGGCCCCTCCAAAATTGAGGGATGCCTTGAAGACCTTGTGGAATGCTCTCAGGGGGGTGAACGAAACGTCACCCTTGTGTTCCACATCAGCAGCGACCAAGGTAAATCGGCCCACTGTCCTCGTTCAAAGGTTCCCTGGCACACTGCCTGTCAGATTAAAATTGGTTGCGTAATGAACCTAGCACTCGAGGTGGATC